GAAGAAGGCTGCTTTGGTATTTCATGATGGAGCATCTGCATGTAGGTAGCTTAAACTACCTCTATCGTTGATTCTTCTTTCTAATTCTGCCCTGGTGAGAGGCTGATCCTATCTGTGAGAGTGCCTTTCTGATTTACCTTTCACCTTTTTGCCCTCCAACATCTTCATCCATGACACGGATGGTGGGTTGGGGACACCCTCAGCAGATCTGCAGATGGCCCTGGGCTCAGTGGTGTGGAGTGATTCCAGGCTTGGGAAGCCCCTCTCACTGTTGTGATAGGACAAGGGGAAATGAGAGCTAGCAGAGGGGAGATTAAGGCTGGGTGTATGGAACAAGTTCTGCGTGCTGAGGGCTGTAAGGCACTGCACAGCATGGCTGGGAGGAGGCAGTGCCCATCCTGCAGACAGCCGTGGCCAGGGATGGGCTCTGAGCATCGGGTGGAGCTGGGGGTGGCCCTGCTCACTGTGAGGAGTTGGATTAATGACCCCAACTCAAACCATTCTATGGCTCACTCAGCTCTTGTTTACACCTGCTATCATCTAATGACTGCGGCTGGCTGCAGAGTGGGATGGCTGAACAAAAAATATTTCATGTTTATTTCCATCCACCTAACCTTGAGACAGGAATCTTAACTGCTGTGCTGCAGCAGGGACTCAGCCAGCTGGGGGAGATTTGATGTGGAAATCCTGTGATGGAAGGACTTTTCTCACTGGCACAGGGCACTTTGAGATGGGCACACAGTGCTGGGTTCACACGGCTCTTCCTTTAGCTGTCAGAGAGCATTAAAAACTACACACTGCATTGCTGGAGAATTATACACCCTTATTCAAACAGATGCACAAATCTAGTTTAATGAATGGAAAAGCAATATTGCCTATTAATGAACTCAATAATTATATTATCTGCTAAGTATTGACTATACCAATTCTCACGAGGGGAGGGAAAAATCATTGGGCAAGAAAAACAATTGTCTCACTAGCAATTATCATTGGAGTATTAAAGAAACCAAGGTACTTACCATTAAATAGTCTCTCTGGAAGCTTTTGTTTCCTAATAAAGTGCTCATTTCGTGAAGCATCATCAGGAGTGCAGTAATTTGATTCTGATCGTGAGTTTTTACCTGCTTACGAGTGAATTGCTTGTAAATATTAAGAATGGATTCCCACTGTGGGGAAAAAAGAGGTACAACTGAGATTCCCAAATTATGGAAAACAAATGATTGATGCTGTAGCTAGCCTCCTCTGTTAGCTACGTCCCCATGGCACCAAAAGCACGAGATCCCGATGACCAATTACACACCATGCAGGCACTCTGCCTTTGCTCAGTTTCCAGCTGCCCCCGAGCCGCTTGGCAGCGGGAGTAAAACTCACCCCACATTTTGCTGAGTTACTTTGTTGCAGTGAGTGATAATAAATGTGGAATGAGACGCCGCGTTTGTCCCTAAATGATCTAGATGATTTACGGTTTCCTATTGTATTGCACTCTCCATCGGAGAAATGGAGATGGTAGCGTTTATTCGGCATTAACGACCTGACGCAGAGGAGGTGTAAAAGTGCTTTATGGGCGTCTGCACTTGCCTAGCTGCACCTATTCTGAGCAGCTTTTTAAAAAGCATTAGGGGAAGAAAAAAAAAAAAAAAAGTTTGGAAAGTTTCGAAACCTGAAGCTTTTAGGATTCTACAAAACGTCGCAGCCCTCCATTGGAATTTCAGAAATTTAATTTATCCAGAGAACAAACAACGGGGAGGGGAATAAAACGGGCAGCCCTCATTTGTGTGAAAGGGGAGCTTTAATGCGAGAACGGAACGCGGTCCCTTTATAGGCACGCATCGCTCAGGCAGAAAGCTCAAACGCTCGTCTGTAAACCTTTTAAAGATCTGGAATAGGATGCACCGGTTGTGTTTTCGCACCACGTTCCGTGTCTGACCCCAGAGTAGAGGCACAGCCCGCATCCTCACGGCGGGAGCTGCCGGGGTTGTCCCGGAGTGATGGAGGCTCCGGGCTGAGCCGTGCGTGCAGCGCTGCTCCCGGCCCCGAGCTCGTATCGCTCGTTCAGCGCATACCTGACCGAAGGGGAAAAGCTGCCCGACTGGTTTTGTTGTTTCAGCTGTGTTGGAGCGAGGGAGCAAACAAAGCTTTAGCATTTCAATTAAGTTCCAGCTCCGATGACGTTTTCAAGTAAATGTTTTAAAATGCCGATGTTTCGTTAGCGAGGAGCTGCTCGGCTGCGGTGCTTTATATGTAATGAATTTTTTGTTGTTGCTTTCGGAAATACAACGTAGGCATCTCTCTGGAGGAGAAAAATTGTCGGCTCGGGGCAGGAAAAGGCCGTGAGTCTTTTCGACTCTTGTGCTGGGATTTATAAATGAAAAGGGGAAGTGTCCCATCTATCTTTCCCACTTGACCAGATCGTTGGCTCTGTGATATCAGAGCTCTGCCGTCTCGATACCGTTTGCAGTAAATGTAGGTTATTTGTTTCTGACTTCAGGAAGTGGGCTGCCAAGCACTGAGATTCTTTCTGCTCCAACGATATAAACAAGCACAAAAGGAAGTCAGGGCAAACCCTGATCTCTTTCTTTGTGCTCCACACTGTCATTAAGAAGAACAAAGTTTTGATTTGTTTTGCTGCAGGTTTCAAGGCAAAGTTAACAGAAAAACACTGAACGTGTTTTAATGATTCCCCCTCCCTTCCCCCCCCCCCCCCATCAATGATTTCTAAAAGGACCTCCAGTTCTGTGGCAATAATCCCAAACGTTGCATTTGTGAGAAGCTGCAGTTTTATTGTGACATGGCAACTTCAAAGCAGCGCTGTGGTTGGCCAATGGCAGCTCTTTGCAGCAGCTGTTATGGCTTAAATTGCTGAAACTTTATCTCCTGTGCTGTACGACCGGCCCTATAGCAAAGCTGTGTGCAAACCTACGTGGCAAATGTGAAACTCGCATCCAGTGTAGCCCAGGAAAGCAAAAAGAAGTTAACTAAACAGGGAAAAGGCCTTGTGAAAGTAGTGGTCAGCAGACAGCGTGGAGACAGCTTATCTCTTAGATCAGAAGATACTGGATTTAAATCACGTGCAAACAGGGTTTTGAAGTGTACCAGGCTGTTTTGTCGGTAACCACCAAGATGAATTATTTCTTACCCATTTTAATCAGGCAAAGTGAGCAATTGGGGTTAGAGGGAAAATGTCCTTATGAGGTTACTGGGTTACACCGCACGTCTGTGGTATTTCCCACAGTGCAGCAGCCAGGGAGCACTGCCTGCACAGAAGGCCATGTGCAGCAGCCAGTGGGCTCCAGCAGTGGCTCGGTGGTGGCTGAGCTCAGCTATTCAGCTGATCAACACCTGTGCTGCTCTCTGTGCGTTTCCCTACGCTGCTTTAAGATCGACTGCTTATCATTCCTGTGCCTTTGTAGTGAAAGCCTGTCCTCACACACTGCCCTGCTTTGGTGGCGTTTCCCATCCCTGCGGATAAACCTGCCGTTCCTGTTGGAAATGTAGCTGTTGTGGGTAACAGCATTTGCTGGGAAAAAAAGAACTAGGAGTGACTGAAGTTTGGGCCAGATTTCTATTTTCATGCACACAGAACCATTGACATCTTTTTCTCTCCAAGATTTGGAGTTTGTTTGTTTTTGCTTTTCTTCTTCCCTTCATTGTATAAAAGTAAGATTTCTTCTAGCAGTATAAGGGGTGTGATTTTGATTTGTTGGAGGATGAGGGAAAGCTGTTGTAAATGTTCTTCATTCAGTCATTCTAGCTTGAGGTCAGATTGGAAGGGGCGCAGTCACAGTTTATCTGTGGCAATGAACTTTCATTATTTTAATACCCCAAACAAGATACCTGCTAGCAACAAAACCACTTCCTTTGTACCACTGGTTTTAAAAAAACCCACCTGGGTTGGTGTATTATTTTCTGCCAGACATCTGAAGTCTGCACTTCCTGAAGCAATACAACAGCTGAGGCCACGAGCTCAGAGCTCAGCTGGCCAAGGAGCTCAAACCGTGGCAGGTTCATCTCATTATTTGACAGATCTCTCAAGTTAAATGACTTGATTCATTCCTTTTATCTGTGTTTATTGGGCTACACTTCAGGGTGGGGGAAAAAACGTGGAGGAAAAGAGCAAAAAGTAGATAGAAGTTGTCAGGCAAGCAAACCGCAGCTAGAAGAGTGCTGTGGTGTTCAGGAAGTACTTTGGAGAAAGTTACTGAGGTCTGCAGTGCACGTAATCATTGCAAAACCTTTCACAGTGAATTGAATCTAACGGATCTGATCCTCCTAAAGGGAAGAGAAGGCAAAAGCTTTCTCTCCCTCTGTTATCTTTTTTCCCTAGTACATTGTTACATCCCTGAATGTTACTTTTGACTAATCTGTGGGCATATAACCACTGCCTGAGATGGAGAGGGGGGAGGAGGAATCGTTGTTGTGTTGCCTGTGTTAAAATCTTTTTGGTTCTGTTTTGACTGCAGCAATTTGATATAAATGTTCTCATGGTGAAAACGTTATTAAGGAATAAGAAGTGAGAAGGAAGCGAGAGATTTTTGAAGGTTAACTGTAGGAGCCCAATCGAAAGGTGCACCACACAAAATTCTTCCATTCGGACCGTGTGGAATATCTCGTTTCCTTTCCAGTTCCCGCTGCGTTCTGCAAAGAAAGTTGCAGAAGATGGAAGAAAAAAATAAGCTCTGAGAAACGTGCCCTATTAGACAGAAGTGTATGCTGGAACAAAAATAGATACCGAACTGTCGTCACACCCTTAGTGATACTTTTTTTCCATCCGCTGATGTGATGCACACTTTCAAGTCTATTGTAAAGCAATTAAAGGCTTTTTGTTCTAGCTTACACTACAAGTTTCTCTGTGTATTTTTAATCTGAAGACAGATCTGTTAGATCCCTCATCTGGACAGACCAACTTCCAACAGCAACTTGACATTGACTTTAAACATGAAACCGGTTATCTGAGACTGATCTTCACCTGGAAAGTACAAATCATTTTGGTGAGGCAGCACTCACAAATGGCATTTTTATGGATAAAAATGCTTCCTCGCTTTTCCTAGTGCAGTACAACATGTCCACACTGAGATGCTGTAAGATACATGTCTTCAAAGTATTTGTATTACAGTCATATGTATAAAAATATTAAGCCCTGTTCCTTCTTCTCTGAGTCACAGGAAAACAGAAGTAAAGTGCACAGCTTGGTAAATCTGCATGCACTTCTGCAAATGTTGTGTTTCATTTTGTTAGTGTGTGCCTGTGTGTATTTGCATGCCTTTATTTGCAAGGCCTTGTTGGTTTTGTGCAGCAGTGGAAAGCAGCGGGCTGCAGCTGGGAGCGCCGTGATTTGAAATGGGCTCAAGTGGGGAAAGAGTGGAGAAAGTGTAAAGCAGTCCGTGGGCAGCGCCGGGGAGAACGGCAGGTTTCATTGTGCAGATTGAGATCTCTTTCACTCGGTGCTTCAGGTTATGCTGGAGGGATCAGCTGTGACAACGGAACGAATGTCACTGAGCACCTGCCAAGCATCCGCATAAGCAGAGTTCCTCCTTTCCCTTCCTCTCCCCTCCCCAGCTCTGCGGGCTGTCAGCTCGGCAGGATTCCTCGCCACGATTGGCGACCCTGCACATGGCAGGGGGTTGAAACCAGATGATCGTTTTTCGGTCCTTTTCAACCCATGCCATTCTGTGATTCTATGATACGATTCACGTCCCTGTGCTCTGAACTCAGCTCCAGCACAGGAAGAAACTTTTCCTCTCTGACAAAGCCTTCTTGCTTCTGGGTAGGAACCCAGGGACAAGCATATATAGAGCCATGTTTAAGCAGTAAAAAATAATCTGGCATCCCAGCTACTGGGGCCACTCAGCGCAGGACTTTTCACCATATTCTTTTTGGAGCTCCTCAGTTCCTCTTTTCCTCTTCTCCATCATACTTCAGTGTTTCATGGGTATAGGAAAGAAGAAATGTTCCAAATTTCCCACTAGGTGACTGTCTGCATCTTTTGCTGCTACAGCTGTGAGGAGTCAGAGCTACTGAGAGCTGTGCTGCTGCTGGTGGAGGGTCCTTAATGCAGAGAGTGGAGCGTTCAGCACTGAGTGGAAAAGCAGTTTGTGTCCTGCAATGATAACCCAGACGTGTTCTTTTATTATGGTGTGCTGATAATAAGCTGTCTTTGCTAATAACAAAAGGATTTTATTAACCGTTTCCCCTGAAGCCATCCAGAAAAGAATTCTTATTTGAGTCATTTCAAATCATGTATTTATATTCTGAAAAACAACCAAGGCTTTTGCTGAAGTCTGAGCCCACTGCTGCACCAGCCCTGGGAGACCTGGCCAAAAGTTCTCCTCCTTCTGATAGTAGTGCAATGTCATTTATTTGCAGGAAGAGCAAAAAGGATGAAGCAACTAGGATAACCAGGGTGTCCCACAGAGGAACAACTTACATGATGGTGCATGATGCCAGCAGCTTCTTGGCGCTTCAACTAGATTAAAAAGCAAACATTTAGAAGCTAAGCCTGTGTTGTTAGCAGCACTGCTTATGCAGAATCCAGTACAGAGCAAACTGGAGTGTTGGCAGAGGTCTGGGTGCACGGCTGCATGCCTGTGAGCAGAAAGCCCATGGGTGCTGTCCTTGAGGAGCTGCACTCTGGCAGCTGGCTGCTGTCTGACTGCTCCCTGCGTCCCTGTGCTCCTGTAGGAAGATGGTATTTGTGGCTTTGTGCTCTGTGACAGCTTGTAAGCTGTAAAGTGGATCTGATAGTGTTGCATGGGGAGAAATAAAAACACCCAGAACACTAATAGCAAATAGTACTTGCTGGCTAATTTGGAAGAACAAATGTGCTTTGAGTAATCCAGATTTTTTAGTGGGATGGAAGAGACAATAAAATGAACAGAAGACCAGAAACTTGGGACAGACTTTTGGGACGGTCCTACCAACACTCCAGTTGAGAAGTGTTGTCATTACTGAAGAAAATGAAAATCTTTACATTCATTTCAACGCGACAGCACACAGAACCTAGAAAAAAAAAGAATTTTCTCTCCAATTGTGTCTTTTACTGCTTTCCCCTCTGAAGTTTGTATTAAAAATCAAACCCCAGCTTAATTATACCTTGCTGTTTACCTGAGGTGTAATTGATGACAGCGGTGCAATCCCTATGGCTCCCTGGGCACTCAGAGGGGCTGTGCTGTGCCCTCCCCCCCTTACCTGCAGGGCTGTGTCCGGGTGTCAGAGCAGAACTGCAGCGATGCTTTACAGCTCTGGTGCTGCTCGAGGAACACAATCTTTAAACCCAGCTGAATTCAACGCTTGTATTTATTAACAAAGTGGCGCTCGGCCAGAATGCTGCAGACGTAACCTGATGGGTCATAATGCTGCCTTTGTGAGCATATCTGAATTTCTGGAATTCAGACCCACCAATTTGCTCGATGAACCAGAAAGCGTTTCTATTTCTTGGCAGGAAGAATTAGGAAAAATGACCCGCCTGGAGTTTTTGGGGCCTGTGATAAAAGTATCTGTGAACTTTATTCTTCCCAGTCACTCTCGTGCATTCCGGGCATCTATGGATGACCGCATTTGAAGGAGAAAGAAAAATCCTCACTTGCAGCACTGAAACAGAAAATATTGTCATTTCCTACTTGCTTTTTCCTAGAAATAGCCTCAGAAGAACTTCCTAAAAGAAAGCTGGAGTGTAACGTGGCATATTGGGACGGGACATTTATGCAGTGTAACTGGAAAGACTTTGAGAAGATCTATGAAGGAATTTTTGTGGCTTTTTAATTCATTCTAATTATAAAGGGCAAGAAAGCAGCATTTGGCAACAGAGGGATTGCTGAGCTCTCGTTTGTGATTCTGCAGAGAAGCATGAGGGACTTGTAAAAAGTATTTGGTGTTGAATTTATCCTCTTTTGTCCTTTTTCAAATCTTTTTTTTTTTTTAGCAGTAATGAAGCTTTAATCCTCCCTGAGGATTGCAATACTTTCTTGCATTACTTACTGGACAGTTTGGACATCAGCTGAGCGCCCTTTCAGTAACTCGAGGGCCAATAACTTTTTTAAAGAAGCATTTAATGAAATGAACACCAGTTGTTGTGTGCTATTTAGGCCCAAATCCCTCCCTTCCCGACTGCTCCGTTTTGGTTGCCTTGGCTTTGGTGATACTGTTACTTCATTAAGTCTGCATCCATCAGAAAGTGTTAGGTTTAGCAGTTGCACTTCTAAATAAAATCAGTGAGTGAAAAGAAAGGCCCTTCCTGCTGTCTGCTAATAATACATGCTTTAATAAAAAGGCAAAACGTATAAATGCATAAATGAACATATTTCATAAGGAAGAAAAGCTGTGTTACGGCTGCAGTAAATTCTTACAGTTCAGTTGCTGAGTTTTGCTGAGAAAAGGTCAACGGACTTCTGATAACCCCAATAATTCAGGCTAAGGGCTTCAGATACGCAGGATGAATTGTGGGGATGTTTTCTTTTTTAGATTTGGATGCAAAATAATACTTGGAAATGTATCCTGCTGTCTTCTTCCCACCGGGCCGAGAAGGCTATGGTAACTCCCATTTCCTTTGCCCTGCAGGGAACTTTGGTTCTGCTCCTGCAGTCCCACATGGTTACGGCCTTTGGGAAAAGGAGTGAGCTACGCTTGGGGGCTCTTGACTGGGTGCTGGAAAAGGCCTTTCTGGCACAGCTGATCAAGAATTTATCAGGTTTTATGGCAAATTGCTGTTGTTTGCCAAGCTCCCATGCCTCTGATTTGGAAATTAAAAAACCATTCCAAGGTCTCTGTTTCACAGATGAGCCTTGGTGCAGCGATGCTACGCCCAGGGGGCAGGCAGTGGTTCCTTGACCATGGAAGTCTCTGGTTTCACTGATGTGTAAACTACTGAGCATGAGAGGAAGGTGTCTGACACACATTCACTCACTTCTAAGACAAAAATTGCACCATCTCCACGTGACCATTCAGTTTGGACGTATCAGCAAATGCCAGAGACAAATGCTGTGCCTCGTTCTTATTTTTATTTTTTAAGCCTTTCGCTTCCTCTTTTCTTGCTTCCTCGGCCTTATTTATTCTAAGGCTGTTTTGTTACTGTGTATTTCACATCCCTTTAAATATAAATTGGAAGCCAGCTACTGCAAGTGGATGAAGTGGTTCTGAAGCTGTGATAAGGATGCTATAGCACTAGCTCTGTCAGTAGATGTCTCTTACCACTCTTTTAATTGCTGGTTCATCAAATACTTGTTTAGTTTACCAGCAGCCACATCACTGTTGCCCCTGAGCACCAGGTGCATGAGCTGCTCTCACAAATGAGGAACATACCACTGAAGCACCAAAGCAGACACACCTGTGCTTTGCATCCTCGCAGCTTCTGACCATAAAGCTGAGCACTCCAGACAGCATGTGGAGCAAGGACAAATTCTTCATTTTGGATCTGAGTGCTGGAAAAACAATCTTTGCTTTTCTTTTTTTTTTTTTTCTTACTCCATTTCCTTGTTTCTGTATCACTTCACCTCCCCCTGTCTTGTTCCTGCTCTCTTTGGGTCACTCTGGTCTCCTTAGTGATGCTGCCCCTCTCAATGGGGCTGACTGCAGCCTGGGATGTCACCCCGGTTTGGCAAGCCTGGCGTTGTTCTCTGGGCTGCCAGGACTTACCATGCTGTTGATGTGCACTGAGTAGGTACTATGTGAGCTGAAAGGAGGACTTCTGAATCAGTAGTTGTTGAATTGTGCATTGCTGCATCACCCTTACTTGTGTTTCGGATGTAATGTGCTCACATGGCTGGTTTAATTTGCAGTGCCAGACAGTGCCTTCTGTCCTGAGTGTTTTTCACTGACTCTTCTGTAGGTGGCACAAAACTGGCTTTGCAGAGCTACTCTTGTTTGCCCTTGTGATTTCCCTTTTAATAAAGAATTAAGGGCCTATCAGAGATCTGGCTTGGGAATACAAAGTGGATATCTAAGGAGAGATTAGACATGAATGGCAGAAGAATTGCCCTGTGAAGAGTGAGGAATAGGAGGACGGTATCCATTTAGCTGGCCATGTCTGCTAGGAAGTATCCTGAAGAGGATCTTCAATTTTTTTCATCCCAGACCATACGCCTCCTTGACTTGCAAGGTGGAAGAGCTGCTTTCTCCAGGACTGCAGGTGAACAGTTTCTATCTTAAGTAGCTGTTGTGAGCAAAGATGAAATGGGGTGGTGTGGGTCGCTCTTATGGGACTGTAGGGTCTGGGATAATTCCAAGGGGAGCAGAATGAGGAGGTCATCCAGTCTAACCTGCTGCTGCATGAGTTCCCCTGCGTTTCCATTATAGTCTTAATTAGTGAATTTATGGATGAGCTCTTTATTTATGTGTCAGAGAGCCCTTTGAGAGGTTTGTTCAGATTTCCAAACACCAAAAGAAGTGCTGTGTTTGGCTGCTGGAAATAGATAGCTATTTTAACACTAGCACTGCTCCGAGCACTCCCTTGGAGGTCAGGCAGCTCAGTATCCAGAACTAAACAACTCGCAGGAGAACAGCTCTGGAAGTGCAGATATGAGGCTTTCTTTCTGCCATTAGTGATTCAGATTTACAAGCACAATTCAATTATAAATTTAAAATAGTTGATCTAAATTTGTTGTGCCATCACACACATGCTGTCAAACTGTGGCCTGTTCTGTTGCAAACTCCAGTCGAGTTTCCCAGAGGGAGTCATGGGAAGATGCTTCTGCTTTCCTCCTGGCACTGCTGGTAACATCACAGCATACTTAATCTCATGATAAGGCTTTCCTCTTCTGTGCACAGATATGCATTGTTGCACTTCCCTTGTGCTGGCAATGACACTTGTTTCTCATTCCACAGAGTCTGAGTGTCAGTGTTTGGCTGGCTGAGCTCCTGGACCAGGGCTCTGGGGTCACACGAGTGTCAGGCTGGCACAGGGGAGGGGAGCTCAGGGTGGGATGAGCCATGGGATTGGCTTAGTTGCAGCATCAGGCTGCAGTCTTTGTTGATTTTTGAGTTTAATGTGAGAGACCCTCCCTGGAAAACTAAATTTGTATTGTTCAGTTGTCTGGCACTACTCCAACAGTGCTGGTTGTCTTTTATTGGGCATTGCAGATTTTAGCTGTACTTGATTAGAGCATTAGCTTGATTTCTTTGACTAATGCTTGCAGTTCTCATGTGTTTTTCTCTGTCAGCTCAGCCAGCAGCAGCATGGTGCCCTGAGGGTCTGCGTTCATTCTTCCTAAGTAGTAATATTCAGAGAAAGCAAAAATCTTCCAAGCAACCTTCTCCTACCTAATCTCCTTCCTTTATTTCTGAAGTTAAGTCCAAAATCTGTATCTCAGACTTCTGTAGTATCTCACCCTGTGTTAGAAGGAGGCAGGGTAAATTCGCAGGCTGGGACTCACCCTTTCTGTCACGTGGGCAGTACATGCTGGTGGAGAAGCAGTTCTGTACCCCACCTTGTCATGTGTGCCCACTAGCATCCCTGGGCTGCCTCCTGTTACACAGCAGAGATCTGCTCTTAGAGATTCCACGGCCAATGCTATAATCTAAAGCAGCACATAACCTGCCTAAAGACTTATTGGTGAAATATAATGAAGGAGCAACTGCTGGCTCTCAGTATGTTCTTGCCCCTGCATACAGCAGAGGTCAGAAGTAGGAAAGAGTCAGGCTTATGGTTTTGATTTCATATTAAAATGTTTTATTATGGCTTCATTTCATGTCCAGGGATCTACAGTTGAATCACACATCATTCAGCCTCTTAATTTCCTGTAATAAAAATATAAGTGCTCAGATAAAGAAGTTCAAAGACCTTTTCCTGAAAACCACGGGGGTGAGGGAGAGAAAAATCTTCTCTACACTTCTCCCAGCTCTTAAACAGGTCTACAGTGTTAGATTATTTGTTTGCATGGTGTCCTTCATTGTCACCATCTTCCCATCAGAGACTTTTGAAGTCCATACTTTAATATATTTAGTAACTTGACAAACTCCATTTGCGGAGCTGGCTGGAAGAGGCACATACTGCTGTTAGCCACACTTGGCAGCAGCAGGCCTGCAGCCCCACTGTGGGAAGCAGCGAAGCAAACTGAGGAGCTCCCTGACCTGCTTGCTGCAAAACTGGGGGATGAGCTGTGCAGGCCCTACCGTGGGGAGGCCCGTGGGTGCTGGGCATTGCCACCGACAGCTGGGAGTGTTCCCCTAAACTTGAATGGCTACAAACCTGAGCCGGTGATGCTTTGGTGCAGTGCTTTGGACAGCCTCATGCTATATGTATATGTTTACTTAAAATACCT